CCAAAGCATAATGTTTCCACCTCTGTGCTTGACTGTAGGGATGGTGTTCTTATGGTCATAGTCAGCATTTTTCTTCCTCCAAACACGGCAAGTCGAGTCAATGCCAAAGAGCTCAATTTTGGTCTCATCTGACTTAGCACTTTCTCCCAATCCTCTGAATCATTTAGTTGTTCATTGGCAAACTTCACACAGGCCTCTGCATGTGCCTTCTTGAGGAGGGGGACCTTGCGGGCAGTGCAGGATCTCAATCCATGGCGGTGTATTGTGTTACCAATGGTTTGTTTGGTGACTGTGGTCCCAATTGCCTTGAGATCATTCACAAGTTCCTCCTGTGTAGTTCTGGGCTGATCCCTCACTTTTCTCATGATCATCCTTACCCCATGAGGCGAAATCTTGCATGGAGCTCCAGACCGAGGGCGACTGATGGTTATTTTGTATTACTTCCATTTGCGAATCGCTCCAACAGTTGTTTCCTTCTCACCAAGCTTCTTGCCGATAGTCTTGTAGCCCATTCCAGCCTTGTGCAGGTCTACAATCTTGTCCCTAATGCCCTTTGACAACTCTTTGGACTTGCCCATGGTGGTGAGGTTTGAATGGAAGAAAGAGATTCTGTGGACAGGTGTCTTTTACATGCATAACGAGTTGTCGTTAGGAGCACCTTCTTAAAATGACAGGACTAATCTGTGTACCAGCCAGTCTGTGGGAGGAGCCAGAATTATTGTTGGTTGCTAGGGGATCGAATACTTATTTTACTCACTGAACTGCGACTGAATTTATAACATTTGTATCGTGTTTTTTCTGGATTTTTGGTTGATATTCTGCCTATATCATTTAAAATAAACCCATGATAAAAATGATAGACCTTTAATTTCTTTGTAAATGAGCAAAGCTACAAAATCTGCAGCTAGAAAATTATTTTTGTCACTGTATATGTCTATAGTATGATACTATTCTACCTTCTACCTTCTACCTTCTACCTTCTACCTTCTACCTTCTACCTTCTACCTTCTACCTCTAGCTTTTTCTTTGGAGCAGGAGTATTAATAGAATTATATAGGCAGCTTTTATTGCTTGGAATAAATGGCAATGTGCAGATTTAGGACAGACTAGGGGGACTAGGGACAACATACAATGTACCACTCAAGCCTTGAGACCTTTAACCGCTTTCCAACCAGCAGGCATATATATATATATATATACGGCCAGACGGGAGCCTTCAAAATGCGGGTTGTCGTTTTAAAAAGTAATTGTGCTCACGCATGAGCAGGAAACTGTCAACATTTAAAACAGATCTCTGCTTCATCAGCTTCTTTTGGGGTCCCTGGGTGACATTAGGGGTCTTAAAGATCCGTGATGCCTCCATAAAGAGGAACTGTCACTGTAATTTGATATCACATAGGGGGCTTGTTAGCCCCACTATGTGATAATAAAGTTAAATGTAAAAAAAAAAAAATTAAGCCACAAATAAATGAGTTTAAGTCCCCCACCCCCACATTCACACGCAGGCATGCATCGGGTGCACCTACGTGTGAAAACGATGATTGCGCCCATTGCACTGCACTTGTTGCATATCACAACGTATGCCAGAGCCCAAGCAATAATTCTAGGGCCATTAATAAACTGCAGTAAAAGCTGAGAAAACACAGAGGATTGCTCACTCAGCACAATGGCCATGCAGGGGAGTCCTAGTATTTTTAGCAAGGAATACTAAGTATTCTCTGATTGAATGAGGGGCAGTGACCTAGCATTATAAGAAAGAGGGATCAGTGATGGCAGCCTCCATTCTTCCTTACTACAGGATTCCTATAAACAAATAAGTATCTAACCTTTGCATGCAAGTACGTAAAGAGATGAGGCTTGAAGAGATGATCCACTGCAGACATCTGCTGTTCTTCTGAAATGTATTTACCACAGAGGTACACAAGGTGACCTGACCTCTGAAAAGGATGAAAAAAGCAAATGCAATCTTTTGTTTTTTGTGCTGCGCTGCATGCACAGCAGCTGTGGTACACCATAGAGAACAATCTCCATAGCCTCGCTACCACTTAATGTATTGAGTGATGTGCTATAGCTCGGCACATGCATCACAGCTGGAAACAATTTTAACATGCTGAGTGTCTCTATTGCACATGGTGCCTTTTTTGAGTCTTTGGGCCAGCTTTTCTTAAGTAATATTGGATGTGTGTGTATGATGTTACCTCTTTTTCCTGATATGTATACTGGTTCCAGCTTTGGATAACAGCCAGGTAAAACAGCAGCTCCAATACTTCTCTAAGGGGGGTTTATCTTAAAAGGAATATGTTTATTGACGTTTGTAATATTTGTGTTGCTTATTATTCAAAACACGCGTGTTTTTTACTTATTACTTTTTATCTTAAGAATCAGATATGCACTCTATCACCACATTGCTCTCTTTTAATTTAGGTTGCAGAAAACAGAGATGTGAATAAAATAACCCTCTCATGATAATAATACAGGTCTATTTTCCCAAGTCAACGTCCCACACGGGGAGCTCAAATGGTGATATTAATGAAACATGGCAGACAATGGAGAAGCCTTAATAGTATGCCACACACCGATAGCGGCAGGCAATGTCCAAGCATGTCAAATGTCATTACTGCATAAAATGTTGCAGAGAAGACTGAAACAAAATAAATTACTGACTGCTGAGGAAGAAGCACTGTATAAAATGTGCAATTGTAGAGAGAAAGAAAACCATAATATGTTGTATCGTATGTGCTATTTTATTGTCCCTACTAAAAAAAGCATCGCATAAATTATTTTCCTAAATAAAGTCTTTATGTTTGCAACAAGCTGGTTGTGTAACTTTTATTTCATGCTATTCCTAAGTAGCTTGATGGCGAATGGCATTTACATATATCAGTGGTCCTCAAACTGCAGCCCAAGGGCTGGATATGGTCCTTTGGTTGCCTTTATTCAGTCCTTGGGGCACTATTTCCCCCATCGACACCAACAATCAGGCACTATTCCTTTTACAAACACCAGTGATGGGATGCATTTGCTTCTACTGATACCATTAGTGGGGCACAATCCCTCCACTGATACCATTGATGGGGATCAATTCCTCCCACTGACACCAACAATGGGGCACTAATCCTCAAACTGACACCAATAATGGAGCATTATTCCTTCCACTAATACTAAGGGTGGGGATCTATCCCTTTCAGAGACACCAACCATGGTGTACTATTCCTTTCACTGACACGGCAATATTTCTTCTCCCACTGACCACAGGTGCTAGGTTATATTTTGACTTCAACTGACCACTGACATTGGGGCATTTTCCACTCCCACTGCCCAGGCAGCCCCTAACCCGAAGTCTGAAGCACAGTGATCCGGCCCTTTGTTTAAAAAGTTTTGAACTCTTGACATACTGTATATGTACAAATGTATGCAATATAGACCAGTTTTTACTAATACTTGTCTGCCGCATTGTCATATTAAGCTGCCCTATCACATGCAACAGTGAGAGTTTTACATGTGCCCTGAATGAGATTGGGCTTTTCAAAAGGTTTACATAAAGGCATAATAGGGTTTTCCCCCACTGATTCCCTCTACTTCATAAGGTGTACTACTTAAAAACAGACATTAGACCAGAGTTGTTCTTCAAGCATTTCCATTGTATTAATGCAAGGGCTTTCCCATTTTAGTCAAAAGAACTGTGTTCTTTATCTATTAACCTCCCTGGCGGTATTCCCGAGTGTGGCTCGGGGTTCATTTTCAGTACCAAGAGCGGTAACCCCGAGCCACACTCGGGATTGCGCAAAAAGGTGTAACTTGCCTTGTCCCTGCGGTGTCCTCTGCTGTGTGCGCCCGGCCGATGCCGGCATTCGGCTTTGTTTCGTTTTCAGGCGTCACAGCAGGGGGTGGAGCGGGCGGGAAATTCAAAAGTGCAAACATGACATTTACACAGAATACACACAATACACACAATACAATGTAATCTGCTATAATTATATATATAATTTATCAAACTATTTCACTTCAATTTTGTCCCTAGAGCTTTCTCCAGTGCCCTGCCTGCACTTTTACTGTACTCTATTTACTGTGGTACGGATCAGGCAGCGCCCCAGAATTCCCATTTACTGGACCATTTTTTAAATTATTATAATTTCTTATAATTATTTCTTATATTATAATTTCGTGTTTCCAACTTTATCATACCCGGGATGTCTACTGGACTCTTGTTTGCACAGATTTAGGTGAGTTATTCCTAAGATTTATTAAGAATTACAGGCCTACAATATAAAACAACAAATTGCCATGAAAAACAATGTACCGCTTTGGCATGCTAAAATCCTGCATAATCAGACCGCCAGGGAGGTTAAACTATTTATGTTCTAGACTAACAAAAATAAAACATGTATTTTTTCCACTTTTTATTCAATAGATAAGACAAAATGAAATCATGATTAAGATAAACAATATAAGCCAAATCAATGAATCAATATATACTGTAATTTTGCATAGTGCAAATGATATCCGCAAGGAGGTTTATAAACAAACATAGGAACAAATTGGTACTATCTGATTATTTTATCCTCTTAATCAATAAATAGAAAATATTACTTACAAATATTTCAGATTTTAGTACTTTCAGCCAGCAGATGGCAAGCTCTAAGCAAGAATATTAGCTGGAGGCTCAGAAAGTAGAAGCTGTTTTGAAACTGACCTAAAAGTCAGGGAGAGTGGATTACACATAGTGTAGAATCTGACTGGAGAGGGATACGCCACTCTTTCTCTCTTAGAATATTTAAACCTAAACTACCGGCTACGTTAAAATGCCTGTAGACATTTGCTATCTAATCAGAATACTATCCCTCTAAATATTATTGGAGAAAATGATGCAGATGTATTTGGAGGCTCATGTTTGGGCATAAGGCTTAATTCTTACTGATACATCTGTTCATACAAAATGGCTGCACCCGGGGTGTTTAGATAACACAAGTACACGCTGCTGTGAAAGAAGCGTGGCATACCTCCATAGTGTACAGGAATCTCGATCTTTGGGCCTATGACATAATGCCCCTCTTCCAAACTGTGAGCTGTGATCGTGGTCCATTGCCGGCATGAGTGTATCAAGAGATAATCATTCTCCCGGAGACCTTCAATGTTCTCTCCTAGAAAATACAATTAAACATCTCTTTAAAGACAAAGAATATCACAACTGGTAGCAGGGGTACATGTAAAATACAAAGTACAGACAAAGTGCATTCAGCATTTGAGGAGACCCACCACAATCAAATGACAATGATACTACTAATTCAGTTATTCACATGCTGAAATAACTGCAGATCAACGGCCAGGTGTGTTGCCATTAATTTTAAAGGGTACCTCAAAGCACTGTGCAAAAGCACATGCGTTGCCCAATACTACAAGCATACAAGTGTTGTGGTGGGGCACATAAAAAAAATAAAAATAAAAAATTATATATATATACCCGTTAATGTAAATGTGGTGATAAATGGCACTGCTGAGGTGTGAGGGGGGCTTTTTAGAATCCAAAGATGTTCTAATACGCAAATTCCATTGTCATTTCTTTAGAGAAGCTATAGGGACCAACCTCTAGGCGTCCTTCATATATGTGCGTTGCGTTGCATTGCCTTGCTTTACTTTACTTTACATTTACAATAATTATGACTGGGACGCCAATGCACCAAAACACAACAAAAACGAAACAAACCCGTTTTTATTTTTAACAGACTACAGGGGCCGGTAAGGGTGATCACTTAGAGTAGGAAGGTATGGCTGTTGAAGCGATTATGTTTTTACACTTGCTACTTTGCGAGTGTTATAGCTGCTGCCAAGAGTGGAGAAATGGGAGTGAAAAGCGTTATTATATTTGCTCGCGCATTACCAAGGGCTGTGGCAACGCGCATGTTACCACAACGTAATGTAAAGCCACCCTTAAAAGCAACCTCGATGCCAAACTAAATGTGCCAGTAAAAGATGTGCTTGTAAAAAAGAAAGAGATTACCTCTGCTGCCTCCCGCACCACTAAATTCCACTTTAATCCAGAGACATTACTAGCTGAAGTCTTTACAAACTATCACTTATGGGAGTGTTAATCTCCTATTCACCTGCAGCGTTTAGCGTATTCACCGCCAACCTCCATGCCGCTACCGAGTCCTCTATTGTGGTAAAGGTGAACGGCAGGAAACCACTGAATGCTGTTGAGGACCAGGAGATTACTACTACTACTACTGTCAGTCTCTAAAGTCTTTGGCCAGCAATTCCTCTGGATTGGATTGGAATTCGGTGGTATGGGTAGCAGGAGAGGTAATACTCACTTTAATCTTTACAGGTACATCTTTTATGTGTACGTTTAGTTTAGTGATAGGATGGCTTTGCAACAGTCACATTTTCACTATATAAAATATGCTAAATAAAGTGGACAATGGTCTGATATTAACAGAATAATCTGCATTATCCAAGTGCAACTACCACTGCAGCTGTGTTATGTGCAACCATAGGGAAAAAAACATAATTATTAGGAGACAGTGCGGCTGACTTTGGAATGCCGATATGTTAACTGCCAACTATTCTCACATGATGATGTCATGCAGGTTCAAGTGACAAAATAGCCCTGGACTTTATATGTAGTTATGCATCAGCAACACTGTACACAACATTGTATGCCGTTAGCCTGTTATCTGTGTATGTGTAAAGCAACGTTCAATAAAATCATATTAAAACAACACAGTGAAAGGAGTATGGTGAAATAGGGTCAAGGCTTCAAAAAGAGATCAGGCATTAACCTAATAAACATTAAACATAATAGTTTACATATGAACCAGACGCCAGTGCACAAGGCTATGGATACTGATTTATTAACTACATTGTGTCTTAACTCTTTAATGCTCAGAGTTTTTGTGTTATCTTATGTACCATATATTTCATCGCTGGCTGTACAACTTACAGATCTAAAGACTCATCATTGGTTCGATCAGCTTCAAGCTGGTTGAAACACATTCAAACTGGATAAATATAAAATCCAATTATGGCAAAGCCTGACAGAGCGTAATATATTAGTTCATAAAAATCTACTGTAGGTTTCTCAGGGAAGAAAAGGACAAACTAATGAATAACTCTTTCAATGGTATATTGTTCCTAAAATATTGAAATCGTATGCAGAACAGAAATGTCAATCACTTCTAAAACAAACTCTGTGATAATGTTTGTATGAACAGGCTGGAAAACATTGGGTCACTTCCTGCTGCATTCTGTTAAAAAGGGAATGAATGCATAGTCTTTTTGAAGTCCAGGAGGTGGCCAGGTGCACATCCACAAAAATATTTGAAACTATGAATCCAAAAGTAGGTATAAAGACACATTCACGGATTTTGCAGCGGAAATAAGTCAAAGCATCAGCATTTTATGGTCACTGTAGTGGTATACGAACAGACTGCACTATCCAGAGGATTCCAATACTTCAGACTTTATTGAAATTCACAGCAAACCCAGTAACAGTGTATGTAACAGCAAACCTCCAACCAGCTACAACCTCTCACGTGTTTCACCTGTAGGTTTATTCATAGATGTGTTCATATGAATAAGCCTACGGGTGAAACATGTGAGAGGTTGTAGCTGGTTGGGGGTTTGCGGTGCTGGTATTTGCTGTTGCATACACTGTTACACTGGATTTGCTGTGATTTTCACTAAAGCCTGAACTATTGGAAATCTCTAGATAGCGCGGTCTGTTCGTATACTACTACATTCCAAGGTGGAGGCGCACCTATTAGACCAACACCTGGGGAGTCCTGATGGTGGGTAAGGAATTGGAGTAGGGATCCACCGTTACTAGTATCGATATCGGTGCCGATACCGTGTATTTGAGCGAGTTCCCCTTTTTGCCCAAATGCTCCACTGCCTAGCACGAGTACTTCCTGTATCAGGAAGCCAGGCAGCGCGTCATTACACGCTGCCCAGTTTCCTGATTGGCCGGGAAGCTGGCTTCATGCTCCCTCCTCATCTCATGAGGAGGGAGCATGGAGACAGGCCCCCAGCCAATCAGAAAGCAGAGTGTTGCGTCATTACACGGCGTACCGGGAAAAAATTATCGGTACTCGTACTCGGTACCAAAATACCGGTATCGGTGCATCCCTAGTAAATAGAAAGATAACAAGTAAAATTTTTGTATGTCCCATTCATCTTCAGTTCTAAGGGATGAGCTTCAAAAGCAGCACTTCAACTTGTATATTTACATTGGTCCAACTTAGTACAATGTTTGTGTGCATTTAAATACAGTGGTGGGAATTTATCATAGCAATTGCGAGTATTTGAACTTGCACGGAATATAATTGACGCACTTTGCACCAGATTTATGTTGCTAGTGTAAAGTTGTTCATGAATTAGGTTAAATAGACTACAGGAAGGAGGACTCATAATTCCAGGCATAAATTGTAACTGTCGCTTCTTGAAGAAGTGGTCATGGGGACTTCTTGAGTTGCAATTGTTTTCTTAGGTGATGCTCCAGTTTCAGACAGCCGCAGAACAAGTGCAGATGAAAACAGGTCCAAAACACGTGCAGTTGGAAAAGTAGTGCAAGCTCAGTTCAAAACAGGGGCACATGTTAAAAGACAGATTTGCACATAAATTTTTTTTTCTAAGAGGCTAAAACTGTCGCAATTGCTTTGATAAATTCCTACCACAGAGTCACTTGCTGAGTGTAGCAGTCATTCAGAGGATGCATGTATCTTTCTTAATGAATACTAGATGTTCTCTGATTAGACCAGGTGCAGTGCCCTAACCCTTAAAGTGACATTAAAGTCACACTTGTGTCCCCCCCCCTCCAATGCTACTTTAAGGACGAAACTTAAGTGATGCCTCTTGATCCGATCATCTTCTTCTTTCCAGTAGTTTTCAGGAGTCCCTCCAGTGCTGGTGCCGGTCTCTGATCCAGCGCAGACTTCTTAAGTCCCACAGTGTCTGTCCAATATGCAAGTTCACAGCTGTGTGCATTTACCTCCACAGTGTCTCTCCTCGTCTATTGAAATCACAGCGCACAGTGGAGGACCAGGCATAGAATGCTAGAAATATTTTGAGGCCAGTAAATCTTGCCAGACAGCGGAGATCGGTGGCACTGTGAACACTTTTAATAAAAACTTTAATATGTTGGGGGGTTTTAAGTAATTTTCAGGCCTAAAATGTGGAATATAACATGGGTACAAAAAAATGAAAAAAAGGCCTCAGTCATGAAGGGGTGAAAGGGTCAGATTACCTAAAGGTGATGTATTATTTATAGATAGAGCCTGGTTGACCGAGTCAACCCTTGGTGTCTTCTAAATCTTGAATACTCCATGAATGTTCCAGCTCCTCCTGTTGCATTCTCCATATTAAAATGGCCCTGTTTAATCCCATGTTCTAAGTCAACCTACTAGTCACTAAAGCCACCAATCACATTAAAAGAAAGTAGGAAAGCTTGGTAGTAAGCAGGGAATGAGTTGAAGCTTTAAAGGGAAAAAAGCTTTAACTAATAAAATCAGAACAAAAACAACAAGAATAATAACAAAAAAAAGTGAACAACCCCAACACACACACTTATACAATCACAAGCATTCAAGAGAATTGACTGCCCTGTAACCACAAAAAGGAGGGAGAGAGCATGAGAGATCAGAGAAAATTATCGCCTAGAGTCACAAAAGAGGGCTAGCGAAGAGTTGAGCTTTTTACAGGAAAATATGAAACTTGGAGATCATTTCAGGTGTCTATATTATTGGAACTACTAATTCTGACATGTGGTTTTTACTGCAGGTAACCTCACATGTATTTTTTATGATATGCTTAGTTGACCACATTTGTGATTTATTTTAAAGCTGACATCCCCGGTAAACATTGAAATACAATGGTGAAATACATAGCAGGGGGTGGAGTCACCTGTCAAACGATTTGCATCCTGAGGTCTACACAACCCTAATCACAAAGTACAGCCAGGCATACGGCATATGTTACAGTTAATATATACAGAGGTGTCATCTCTACATCCCCAGTGTGCTGAACAGTGAAAGAGCAGCAGTAGAATGATAAAGCCATCCCTCTGCTCTGTCTTTTCAGCATGTTCTGGCCCTCTTTCTCAGAGTCTGATTGTTGCTTTACAGAGGAATGCAAGTAGCAAATACCA